CATTTTTCCTCTTCTTTTTTCTTTTTCTTTTTATTAATAATCTCAAGTTATACATAACTTTAAGGGGCACGAAATTAGTTTATCTAGATGTGCCCCTCTTCTCTCCTTCCAATATACAATGTAATTCAATTTAAGTGATATAATTTCTGTTTTATGCGTTTTTTTTCTTCCTTACAAAGCACTATCGGTTACTACTTACTCTCTTTACGTTATATTTACATATCTATGTATTAGCTGCGTGATAATGACATACCTACATATTATTCCTCCAAGATTTAATTCTAAAAATATTCATTATAACCAAAGATAGCTGAATTTAATTTTCATTTGTTTATTTTCTTTCAGCCAGGTTTTCAGTTCTTGTTTAAGAATGCAAACGATAAGTGACGAGGCTGTTCAGAAGTCGCCACTGCTAAACGCGAAGTCTCGCAAGCTGCTGAGCAAGTGATCGAGGGGATTCGAGAGCGCGAACGCGACTGAGCTGATTGTATCACTCGAGACATCACGCGTAACGAGGCTCGAGAGAATTAACTCTGCCATCCAGGAAGCTCAGTCTCTGCTGAAACAAATGAAGCAAGCGGTCGAGTCTGCCAAAACTCTGGTAGAAAGAAGCTCAAGCTCGGATATCATGAGCAACAAGGAAACTTTGAAGCAGCGATTTGAAGTGTTACGTGAAACTGAAGTTCCAAAACATGATGAGACCTCATTCGTCAATTCGTCGCTGTGTTTATGTATTCGACAGAGATGGTAAATGTTTAAATAAGCCTGGTAGTAAAGGAGCAAATTCTGGGCAAATTAACAACCCAAGAGGCGTTTCGTTTCTAAACGACAACGAGATTCTTATTGCAGAGGAAAGCAATCATAGAATACAACAAATAAATATTAAGACAGCAACTGTTGTGAAAAGCTTTGGAAAACATGGTGCGGGAAAAGGAGAGTTTAGGAATCCAGTTGACGTTAGTTTAGATGATGAGGGACGCATTGTTGTAACCGATTATATTACTGCAATAATAGGATACATGTCTTGTCAAAGGACGGAGAAACTATTTCCATATTTGGAGACAGCGGTCCAGAGAAACTTAGTTATCCAGTAAGCTGCATTCCTTTCAACAACAAGTTTCTTGTGACTGATAGAGACAATAACTGCATTAAAGTTTTCGATCAGTCAGGAACTTTCTTGTACAAGTTTGGGAAACAAGGCAATCATGAAGACGGACAAATTAACTTGCCGCATGGTATGCTTCTAGACAGCTCCAACAATCTTCTTGTATGTGATTGGGGCAATGACCGAATTCAGCAGTTTTCTTTAGACAGCCGCTTCACAGGAAAAACTATCACTGATTTACCGTGTCCTTTTGGAATGGCAACAAGTCCAGACGGAAGTATTCTCGTGACTACGCCTACGACAGTACACGTACTGAAGTAGATGTCCAATAGCTTGTCGCTAGCCTTCAGTCCAGGCGTATTATTGGCGCGCGAGTTAGAACGATTTGGTAACTGTGTAGGGCTGAGGCGACTGAAAATTTGCCGAGGGAGTAGGCGTGAGGTGAAAAAAATTTGCGAGGGGGAGGGTGAAGGGGAGGAAATGTCAACTGCCCCTTCCTCTTCGTACTCTGTCCCAGTCCTCTACCGGTCAAGCATCCAATAGACCATTTTACAGTTGTCTGCTCAGTGACCTGGCCTTTGAACGGCAGCGAGGCTGGAGGTGAGCTTGTTTTGATACAGACCTTGCTGCACTCAAGCTTGTAGGATGTAACATGGTTTTTTAAATTAGCGGTCTCTATGATGACAGTATTATATCATGCGACGTTTTTGGTCTTGATATTTTCTAACGTTCAGAGTGTTTTTAACTGGTGATATTATGGTCACTTAAATTCAGAGAAAAGATTAGCAAATCTAAGAAATGGTATCATAAGTGCTTTGAATGTAGAAAAGAAGAGATCGTGTAAATAGTATAAGAAACAATTTTGTCAAATACCTGTTTTCAGGTAATTGTCATAGTTTCGAACGTGATGGTCTGTACGTACAGTTTTAAAAAGTTTCTGTAGAAAAAGATTTAATAAATCAGGAGCCATCAGGAGCCATGGGCTCCTGTTATATAAAATTTTGGGGTATACCGAGTAGTAGCAAATCGATTTTAAAAACGCTTTCCCACGCTGTTAAAACGTAATCCCACGCGTCGGACGTGCTTGTGACTTTCGGACAACTTTTGGAGAATCTTCGGAAATCTTCGGAAAGTGGTCGGAAATCTTCGTTATGTCTTGTACATCAACAATTTTAGTGACAAGCATGTTTGCGATGACTTGCCAGGTTAGTTCGATTCGTAGTTGTTAAGCAATGAAAAAAGCTATCAATTATCGCTTACAATCTTCTTAGAGTACTCGACAGTGTTAGTTTAGTAGTAACTACTTATTAACCGAGAGTGAGACCTTTGCGGGAAATCTCAAACCGAAACCTTGCCGTGTTGACCGAGTTATCGCTCGGTCAATGCGGCAAAGCATACAGAGATTTGAGATTTTCCCGTAAAGAACGAACGTTCGACATTAATAAGTTTTTTTATTATATGGCTTTTTGCTGTCTTTACAGGCCAGTGGGCATTAGGGGAAAATAATGCCCTAGAATTAAAACGATTTATCAGACTTTTGTTAATCGCTATACTTAAAGTATTTTTTACAAAATGGTTACATAATTGCTTATAATCCCTCAAATATTTTCGCTCGCACGCGATTGGTCTAAACGCATCACGTGATTGAATATTCCTTAGCTAAAACTGGGAATATCCGAGTAATGTTCCCCAATTTTTATAACCGCGCGAGTTGCGAAAAACATATGCAGGATAATAAACACAATGGCCTCCATTTGATGCGAAAATATGCTCGGATATTTGTCCGCGGACATTATCTGTTCCTCAAAGCTCGCAGTTTTCCGAGAGCGTAGCGTAGTTATTGTTTATATACCCCACTATTTCAACTTGTTTGTTTTCTTTTTAAAAGCGGACATGAAGGGTAAATGTGTAAAAATAAATCGTGCAGATTAATGCAACCACCTATGGCTTTTTTTTTTTTCAAACGGGCTGTCCCCGGTTACAATTCGTTTCAGCTCAGATCTCAAATTTCTAATAGGCCATTTCCGAGTTAACTTGTGCCTCTGTTTCAAAACGAGTCCTAGTGCAAAACCTTTCATGTGAAAATGAGATTAATACCTCTAGGCGGAACACATTTTCATACGAATGGTTTCGCGCGAAGGCTCGTTTTAACACTGAAGCAAAAGGCAACTTTGAAATAGCCTATTCAATCACGAGTCTAGCAAGATTTCCCCCCCCCCCCCCCCCCCCCAAAAAAAAAACCAACACACAAACCAAAAACAAACCTAAAAAAAAATGTAACTGAACAAACACGGTTTCCAAATTTTTAAATAATTTTATTTTAAAATATGTTTGAACAGTTTATTTTTGTACACGTTGGGTTACCACACAGCGAGTACGAAGAACAAGAAATGTTCATTGTATAAAAGTTGCAATCCACGTCTTGACAATTTACATCCAATGGAATGTGGAATGTTCTTGAACCTTAAGGTGTACAGTAATAATAGCATTCAATACTCTATGGAAGCCAAAAGAAGCAACACGTAGCTTCCAGTTACACAAATGGCTATAACTTACAGAATATAATGCTGTGGAACACTACATTGCGTATTTTCTTTAAACTCTTTTCTACATCATGATAAATGATTATTACATTTTCTTGTAAAATTGTCACTTTCTTTTTCTTGCCAAAAGTTGTAAAACTACAGCATCTATAAAGCTGCGCTCTGTTACCAAGCAAGTCATAATTTTCATAAATCAGTAATTCTCAATTACTAAGATGAGCATCTGCTTAAACGAGAAGAGGCTTTTAAAGCACCAGAGTGTGAAAAGCTGACAGAACAATTTTTGTTTCTACAACTGCTACGAAAACAGGTTCTCTTTCAGTTTTGCTACAAGGTTCTGTTAAAACAGTTCAATTCATACATCTTTTGTTTTTACTGGTCTACTTTAATGTTACGCGATTCTGAAGGAAGCTTTAGTTTTATACAAGACGTTTGACTCCACAATGAGCAATGAGTTCGAGAACACAATTTGACTTTCGCATCCGAAAAATAACGACATAAAACGACGTAATGACAAAGCGACATAATAGCTTATGTCGCAATGTGAACATTGGCATAAAGACATAAGGAAAATATCATTCTTCCTTTATGTCATTATGCTTATACTGTTAAGCCTGGTTCACACTAGTGACATAACGACGTAATGACATCGTCACGAACGACATAAAACGGACGTTATCTCGACGTTAAAGGACGTTATGTTTGTAGTGTGAACATGTAGTCATAATGACATAATAGCAACATAACAGCACGAACATAACGACATAAAGATCAACTGATCTTTTACTTATGTCGTTATGTCGCTAGTGTGAATTATGTCAGGATGTTCACACTACAAACATACCCACATAACGTCTTTCTTAAGTCGTTCTGTTTATGTCGTTATGTCGCTCGTGTGAACCAGGCTTAAACGGACACACGACCGCTGAGAGATGACTTCAGTGAAAAGTGAGTGTTCACACCAAGACATCCACCACAGCTCCTTTTCGTCTGCACAGCAACGGCTGAGGAAGATCTTTATCCGCTGACTTGAAGTTAAGCTCCACGGAAGACCCCGCAAAGTTCACTGCGATTCTGGAAAAGAACAAAACTACCTTAGAGTAAGAATAAGATTAAAGCACAGAATCCATGCCTTCGAAGTGAGTGAATTGTTGGCCACCATTTTTTTTTTCAAACAAATATGTCACGCCTAAACATGTCCGTAAACCGAACTCATTTCCAATCGAAAGTTACGGGAGCCGAAAGCTCGTCGCAGTTATTTACCACGTCACGCAACCTTTCCATGGAAAATACCTTGCGTGACGCGTTTGCTTACCTGTCAGACACGTGCACAGGGGCTGACATGTCCTGTTGAGATTCAACCTGAACTAACAGCTTAGCCACTAACTCCACCACGTGCTCCGTGTGGAACATGAAGTCGCCTTTCAGATGATTTTTATCTTGTTTATCCTATGGAACAATCAAAGACAAAATTACTACAATCAGATAAAGGAAGATTTAGGAACGGAACATCATTTTTTTAGGAGGGGGATTCAGGTAATTTTCCCAGGCATTGTTTTTTTGCACTTTTGGGTAAGGTTGTGCGTGATTTTTTTTTTTTTTTTTTTTTTGGTGGGCAATAGCTTACGCAATAATTTTTTTTAACATCAAAAATAGGACCGACATAGCAAAAGCACTTGCTTAATTTTTTTCTCCTTGGCTTCCCTTGCACGATTTGCTGTGCAGGAATTTTTTTTTGGAATTTTCCAACCGTACCTCCCCCCTCAAAAAAATGATGGTGGTAAAGGTAGTCTCTTATGTTTTAAAAAACAAAGGATGATGCCTCACACAAACTACAGCTTGTTCAATATTCAGGACAATTATTATATGGCTAGCTCGGCAAGCAAGTTTAACCAACTCCTTTGCTGTGATTGGCTACCCTTGCCCGCTCGGGATCACCCGCTGCTTCCCGCAACGAAAAAGGTGGTTTTTTATTCTGTGCCATATAATAGATTGTTAACTAGCTGAGCTTGCTTGTTCGGTCAAGGTAGCCGGATACTGGCCTCGATCTTTATTTTTATTTTTTTTTTAGTGTTTACGGATTCGGTCAATAGACCTAGGCCAATATCCAGCCATCTTGACTTCACGCATGATCAATAACCTATATTTATCGCCCTTCCCCTATTCAACAACACTGCCTCGTGTAACACGCAAACGGGACCCACCGTTCGAATGTGGAACACGATGACTCCGTCCTTCAGCGGGCTCACCGAGATCCTCGTGATATCGCCCAGGTCCACGTTGTATTTTGTTAGGAATGACTTTGGGTCCAACACCAGCATTTCTGAGTCTGAAACAGTCAAGATGTGAGGCACCGCCTGGAAAGAAACAGCACACAACTTGTCACAATCCCATTGCCTCAACACACAAGTTCTCCTTACATGTCTTAACACATTTCTTATAATACTGGTTGTGGGAGTTTGATGATGTAGTAACTGTTTAAGCCCTGGCATCAACTCACAAATTCTCCTTGTGTCTCCATACATATTTTATAGTACTAGTTGGGAGAATTCACGATATATTAAATCTTTAAGTCCTGATATCAATATTCCCCATCACTGGTCTTCATACGTTTCTTATAGTTTTGAGAGTTGGCAGAGTTTGTTCACAAATCAAGACAACTTCCCTATTGTGAAAAAGAAATGGCAATCGCGCGACCTGTACGCAACAAAAGCTGACAGTTATCCGAGATTGCAATCTGGGACACGGTGCTGAACCACCCTTTCGTCCCCTTTCGTATCTCTAGGCACGTCACGCAACAATTCTCCCAATGTTTTGATGTTATTTGGATCGTCACGCAACTGTTGCGTAACGCCTAAGTCTTCAGACGGGTTTAAAGTGTACTCATTGTTTGACTGTCGTAGCATAACGCACGAAGAATGTCAATGGAAGGTAACTCAACATAGCGAGAGGGGAGACTCGGGCGAAGCAAGAGGGAACCTTAATTCAGTTCTCTACAGATCTGTTTGCAAAAACAAACAGACAGACAAAGAAAGGAAGGAAATGGAGTTCACCTTGCCATCTTTCCTGTTGATTTTCAGCACAGAGTCCGCCCACACTATGCGAAGGTTGTTGTTCTTAGCGTTCTTTTTCCACTTTGGATTTGCCATGAGGTTGGCACGATCGCTTTGAAAAGGAACTGGTACCCTACAAATACACACCAGCGATAAATACAACGAACAAGATATAAGCACAAAGAGCAAGAGATAGCAGAGCTTCTCAGCTTACGTGGAAGGGTAGGAAGATTTCTTGTCTTTGAACACCTCGCTGGCTTGAAGTTTTTCTTTCAAAATCGCTCGTCTTTCTGAAGAGCAACGGTCTCTGAACTTCTTGCACTGAAATAAAAACACGAGGTAGAAATGTCTCTTGCTGAGAACATCACAGCCAGATAACACAATTAACAATAAAACTAAGTCCTTTTCGTTAAGCGACACAGTTGTGTCCTATACCAAAGCTGGCAGATGAAACTATTGTGCAAGGCCCTTCAAAAGCAATCACGTGTTTGCTATGCGTTTGTCGGGCTCATTGACTGGCTCGATAAACGTGCCAATCGCTGAGATCAACCAATCGCAGCAAAGAAGGCTCACATGACTCGGGATGTGTTCTTTGTTCTTTCCCTACTTGTTTTTGTCTTCTCTTTTTAATTTCCAACTTGAACAGTAGTAGGCTTGAAAAAGTTAAGAACAGCAACGTTGCAAGGCATTATCAAAACACCAACTTACTCTCCAGGAGTGGTATATATCCTTGAGGAGCCCATTAGTCTTCCTAAACATGGGTGAAGATGACGGCCAGTGGGTATCCGTGGGTGACACAGACGGCAGATTCTTCTTTAGTGTGGTGAGATATCTGTAGCACTATTATAAAATAGAACAAAAAGCGCAGTTCAAGTTCCTCTTTGTTTCTTGTCAAAGAAATCAAGTCCAGTACTCTTAATTCGAGAACAATCTCGAAAGGCCGCATAGGAAACTGCGAAAAGTGAACAAGGACAAATGGACAATGAAACAAGCGAAGAAGCAAGCGACATACCAAGAAGAGTCGAAGGAACTTCATGATCTTTGGAGCAGCATTCCGTCTGAACTTGGGATGGTACAATCGACGAATCTACATACAATAGAAGACATTCTGAGCTTTTATCAAAATCAAACGCTTTTTGGACTTGTCACGCGGGGGAGGATTGCGTGACGAGCCCAAGGGACGTCTGCGTCTACGTAGCCCGAGGCTAATTTGCCACTTTAAAAACGAGAAGAAATCTGGGACGAGTCTCGTCTCGCAGTTGCTTGTGGGATCGTTACTGGGGACAATAAGCACTTAATGACTGGCCCCAAGGGAAACAGTGAGTTTTCTTTCCCCGAGACATTGAGGTCGAGGGGAAACAAAACTCGCTGTTTCCCGCGGGACCAGTCATTAAGTGTTTTGCTATACCTCCCAACTCAAAAATAGAGAAAAAAAAAAAAAAACTGCGAAGAAATCGTTTGCTTGAAGCCGGCTGGCTCACTGATTTGCCGCGGTTTCAAGGAGCACGACCTGAACACCTGCGAGTCTAAAGTTCAAGTTGTTGTTTCCTCAGGAAGTTAGTGAGTTTTGACCCTCGACACGTGACACGTTCTCCTCCAATCAGAAAACGTATTTAAGTTGGTATTTAAGTTGGTATAACAGTATAGCTTCTCGTCTTTTTTTGGCTCCATTAACGGTACCACAAGCCACTACGAGACGAGACTTTCCCCCAATTTTCGTCTTGTTTCTAAAGTGGCGAATGTTGGATCTATTTTGTTCTGTTTTCAAAGAAATCTAAGCAACAAATTTAGAGGTTCACAGGCATCATTCACTGTTACTCGATTCAACCAAACTAAGAGCAGAATTATCAGAACTTACTGAATATAAACTAACCTCAATGTTACGTTACAAAGTTTCTCATTAAGTATACATACATGCATGCAATGATGATGTATTTGTATGACAATTTTTCAAGTTAGTCGTTTGTAATCCTTTAAGCTTTCCTTCAATTTAAAGGTACTTTGTACCAGGCAAAAATAACTCAAACTGCCGTGACTGAGCTCTATTAATTAAGATGTTAAAGATGGCTATCAATTTATTTGTCAACTATTATTTTTTTTATTAACGTGCTTATGCATTTATAGTCCACTTATTTACTTTTAATTAAATATTTATTACCTTACTAGTTTATTTATCCATTCATTTATCAATTTACTTATTCGTTTATTGCCTGGCTGATTGATTACTTGACTAAACTAAAGTAGTTTCTTTACCAGTAGAAATCTTAGTATATATTATTACTGCAATGTGTAATTTATTCATGCGATGTGTAATTTATTCACGCAATGTGTAATTTATTCATGCGATGTGTAATTTATTCACGCAATGTGTAATTTATTCATGCAATGTGCAATTTATTCATGCGATGTGTAATTTATTCATGCAATGTGTAATTTATTCATGCGATGTGAAATTTATTCATGCAATGTGTAATTTATTCATGCGATGTGTAGTAATTTATTCATGCGATGTGTAGTTTATTCATGCAATGTGTAACTTATTCATGCAATGTATAATTTATTCTCGGTATTTTGAGTTGTTTTCGCCTCTGATTGGTAGCAAATAATAACATTCCAGGTACATTAGACACACCCAGACAAGTCATCATCATTAAAAAAAACAAGGCGTGCCGAAAGGTAATTCAATAGGTCACCTGACGAGGCTTGTAGATCCAGTTTCACGACAAGAATGCGGGCATTTTATAATTCGTGACCCCCACCTCTAGAAGAGCTCCATCACGGTTTGCACATCTTGAAAAGTTTAGCCTAAAGTTTTCGTAGTTTGTAATCCGTGTTAATCTTCTCCATCCTTAACCATCTTCGTCTCTTTATTATTATTATTATTATTATACCTTTGGTGTTTTTCTATCGTAATAATTTTGCACGAGGCCAAAATAACTCAAAGGTGACTGAGCTCCTCTAATTTTTCTTACTATTATTATCAGACAGTTAATAAGAACAAAGAACACGATCAACTGATGGGCAATGCCTCGATGTACTACTAAACTCTCTAAACAACCAACCAAAAAAAACGTATGACAAACAGTTGAGAGAGTTCACATTTCAATCACCTTCCAGCCGGTATAGTAAGCCGCTATTGTAGTGGCGGCCTGGATTCGCTTCTTTTCAAGAACCATGGATCTGTAAAGTTTACGGGCCTGATGAAATGAAATTAAATGGAAAGGAATGAATGTGAAATAAAACAAAAAGTAAGCAACAGAATAATGATCTAGCGTGAAGAAAATAAGAAATTGATAAAGAACACAAATGTGAGGAGCAACGAAAACTGGCACATAACAGAAACTCAATGAAACTTGAAATGCACCGTAAGCTTGTTTCCAGGAATCTGTCCATGTTTGCTTTATCAAATTACATCAAGATAAACTATTCTCAAACTCAAAACTCATTAATAATTCATAAAGGTTTCAACAAAGGAAATAATGGTCGTGACGGTGTTCGAGTGTCTTCTCTCACCATAGATTCTTACGATTTTATTTCTCCGTTTTCTCCATTGTTTTGGTTTCGATTGAGAAGATGTATTAAATACTTAAGACAGGGTTTGGCTACATTTTGAAACAACTCGAAATGTGTCAAAAATTTTCAACTCTCTTCTCTGTGTTTGGAAATGTGGTCAAACACGATCATTCGTGTTTGATATATTATTTGAACTTCAATGTTGTCAATGGCACTAACTGATTGACGATTAAACTCACGGACGAGAACAACACGAATAAAGTGCAATTTGTTACACTTTGAAATTCCGTTACAAGCAAAATCTTCAAGATTTGGACCAAAAGGCTTACGAGCCAAAAAGTGCTCCAAACATCATCGTAAAATAACACAAAATATAAATCATCATATTCTGCATCATATAATAAGTCAAATTATTCTCGCATATTGATTGGTTCTTACTTATGATCAATTGGCGGACAGACGCATAGGTGACGTCATTAACTTTTTTTGGCTTTCTTTTATTATAAAACAGGTAGATTCCATGCGTCTGTTCAGTAATCGATCACAGAATCTCAGGGAAGGAAAAAACTCGGATCCGATTGCCCGGGGCAAGTAAATTTTGCTTTTGGGCAAGTGAAAATAAAAGTTCAGTGGCCCCTTGGGCAAGTGAAATTAGCCTCAGTAGTCTTGTGAGTCGGAATGAAAATGTCAGCCTGATAAATGATAATTTCCAGTCAGAAACTATTTCAAAACTCAGTAAGACTGCAAGATTAGTTAACCATTAGGTTGAAAGCATGGGCTAGTTTGAAATCCAAGCATACCTTGTTCGCGTTTGTCCTCTGATTGCCATACTGGCCGCCTCGTCGGCAAGTCATATTTAAGTGAAGCAAGTGAAAACTGAAATTTAATCTTCTCGTATGCCACTTTTTTGTTCTTACCACATTTTGACATCATCTGCGATCTATTACTGAACAGACGCCCGGCAACATGGAATCTATTTGTTAAATTTATTCTGACCTGCCATCCATAAAAGTAAGTCCGAATAACACCAACGGCCCAAATGCACTTCTTCTCATATAACATTGCTTTGTAGAGTTTCCGCGCCTAAGAAATAAAACGGCTTACTTAACGTAACTATTTTACGTTATTTTAGGCGAGTCTGCGATATAAAAACTGGTCTTTACTAGGAAAAGGAACGAGAGAAATAAAGCATGGTGAAAACTGCACAATGTGACATTGACACGAGCTCGACATCTGCCAAACGGGGAGAAACAAGTTTCGAGGCTCAATTTTGTATGAAAAAATGGTCTACAACACCAAGAAATCACCTTTGATCATAATGTACCACGGAATGCATCGAAAAAGGAAAAAAATCGTTTTTACATTTACATCTGCAGTTCAAAAATTAAAGAATATAACCACAGAACTTCACACTAGCGTGACATAGCCCCTTTTATACGGCATGACAGTAGCGTGACCCAAAAAAAACACAGGGGTACGGGGCGAGTACCACGAAACGAGAAAAAAAAACCAGCGTCGAAGAAATGAGAAAAGTTAAGGCAAAGTAAACAAACAAACTAACAAACAAACCGTGAAAAACAAACAAATTTTAAATTAAGATAACATGGCAGCTATGCATGTGATGAAAGTCCGTGGAAGTTGTGACGTGTTAGCATTAATTATAATTAGCTGTTAGAGCTTTCGTTACGTTAGTTAAAACCTGAACGCAACATTTTGCGCGTGGCAGTTTCACTCGACCTGGTAACACACTGCAACATTTAACGCAATACTGCTGACACGACAGGCAAGTTTTGATGTTTCAGTGCAATAGCTGAACCAAAATGTCGACGAGTTTAGGATCATTGGCCATACAAGAGGAGAGAACAGTGGTGTAATGTTGTTCCTCTCGGAAGAGCAACAAAACTTCCGTGCCAAGCCTTATGTCTCACAATGTTGCTGATAGTTGACACACGACTTCAGACATTGTTGCAAAAGTAGAAAACGTTTCTTCGTCTGTACCCATTGCTTTTCTCCATTCAGGCGTATAAACGTGAACCGGTGATTTAATGATGGGTGTAAGACCGTGAAGGACTAGAATCCCTTCTACGGGGGAGTGCAAATACTCCTAGTCGCTTCATGCTACGGAAACCGGGATACACCCCGGCGGTATAGACCTCTCGACCCATCGAAGACCTGCCGTTGCGAGCAATGTTTAGCGCAACAGTTTCCAGGAACAGTTTCTTCCGTGGAATCAAAGATCGCGCGCAAAGGTGTGTATGGTGTGTTCTAGGCCTCAAGTGTTACTCGCGAGTCTGTGGTACTATTTATTCTAAAAGCACTTGTATGGTTAAGCAGGCTGTTTGTGTTAAGTGAGGTTAGTTTTACGGTCAGATTAGGTTTTACATTGTAAGATAAACTTGGTATTGGGCTTTTGTACATTATGCTTGCAATTGTTCGCGCATTTTAGTGAGGCAAAAGCATTAAGCATTATTAGAGCATTTTAGTGGCATTTTCCCGGAAAATTAATTTTTCTGCGTACAGAAAAGAGAAGTAAAAATTATTTTTTTACGAGAAAATGAAGTCAACTTGAAATTGAAAAAAATTCAAATGCCACCCTAATATAGCCGAGTGGAGACTGAGGAGAGATCAGCGGTAGTCGAATCAAACTAAAAGATCATTGATAGAATTATCTTACGGTGTATTAAAACTGTTATATATGTTGACTTATACTACGTATATAAGTTCTTTTAAGCACCCTGAGCTGTTAATTGTGTTAAAACGTTAAAATTATTCAAATTTAAAAAACCCTATATATGAGCGTTAACCGAGCATTTTAGCGACTTTCTGGGGGGAGATCGAGCATTTTAATGGGGAAAATGGAGCATTAAGAAGGGCATTTTAGCGGGGCAATAAAAGCATAATGTACAAAAGCCTACTTGGTATTACGGTTAATTTTAGGCATAGCTTTTCAATGCTGTTAAAGTTATCCTCGCCTAGCCTCTCACACCGAATACTCACGGTCCATTAAAAGTAACGAAAGCCGCTCCTAATTCATGTAATTACACGTGCGTTACTGAGGAAAAACACTGCTCAGTGCAATTTCCAAACTTAGAATTGATAAGTTCATGTACAGCTACACTGAATGATGAAGCACAATATTTCATGCATGGCATTAATTAGTTATTATCAGCTACTTGTGGCAACAGAATGGAAAAGAACACAAAAATAAGTGCTCGCTACTTCCCCCCGGCAATAAAACCTACCTTCCAGCCACGGGCATAACACGCAATCACAATGGCAGCGCTTCTCTTCTTCAGATAAAGACGTCGATCCTATGTAAACAAAAGACAAATTATCAAGCCAATTTGTACCCACATAAACTGTCACTACAAAACCTTGCTGATCCCGTCTTCGTAGTCCAGGTTTCACTAATTGTATTTGTTCGTTTTCATAATTGTATTACATGTAGCTGTGCCTTACAAATAGCAGTATTTCTTGGTAAGATTCAACGATCGTACGGGAAAAAGGTTACTTAGATTAAACAGAAATGTTCAAGGAATCGGCACATCCGTTCAGAGAACCTTGCGAGTCGCATTTAAAACAAAGATGAACTAGCAGGGCTCGAAAACAAGTGCCGTCCAGTCTTCCAGGACAAGTAGACTTTCTTTCTCACTTGCTCGATGGGTAAGGGATCAGGCAAGTCATGTGCCAACTACATCATTTAAAGAGCAAACTAACAGTTGCCAGGCCAAGCAATATTTGAGAGATACTTGTCCTAAGGGCAAGCTAGAATTCAAGGTTTTTTTCCGAGCCCTGCCTAGTCAAAAATCTTTAACACACGATAGCGCGATTTCTCCACGACAAACCACAGAGGGGTTAAATTGTTCTTTAAACATGTAGCTTGTAGTTTTACTTACTCTGAATCCACGGTAATACTTGGCAATGATAATTTCACTTTCTTTCATCTTTCGATACTGTTGATTGATGATGAAAGAAATTGATTAAACCCCATTTAAAATTCAACGCGCCAAACTTTCGTTTCGTGTAAGCAAAGTACTTAAGCGACCTTAGAAAGTAAAAACCACAGTCGTAATTGATTCCACTCTCTGGTTAAGAATTCCAAAAAAGTCGTGTGTCTTTATTGGTTCTCCTTACACAATGCTTTTTTTTTGTCACTCACTCTCTTCGACACCACTACAAAGAGGATGCTCAGCGTAATGAAAATTAGCTCCAAACTGCTCACAACTTGTCATCAATTAAGGCTTATTTCCTGTTTCCGGGTTAACATTTAACATTCACAATTAACATTCAGTGAGTGTTGCGTTATTATCATTATATGCAATTAGGAGAAAAGGAAATTAATCATGTTTTCAAGCAGGCACTTGACAATGTTGCAACAAACTCCTCAAGCTTGAATTGTTTCAACAGGGTGAAATCCTTATCTATCATTATCGAAACCTGAAGTAATCGTATAAGAAATTACTGACTTCAGTCTCCCTGAACTTTCATGGAGAATAAATTTTGAATTCCCTGCCCAGCTACTTAACCCCAAGATCGAGAGTACAAAAAAAAATCCTGACTTTTCCTGACCGTCAAAGGCTTTGGCAACGCGCCGAGTTTAAGGTTGTAAATTTCAACAAACCACGACAAGCCGACTATCATTAGCTCCTCCCTTTCAGAAAAGACCGAAGGAAGGACTGGTGGATGGCTCATAGATCAGTCATTATCTCGTCCAGTCCGGCTTCTCCATAGATCCACTGTACATACCTGTGTTCGCTGTCTCCAGCCCCTGAAAATCGACTGAATGATAACAGCTAAGCGGTTCATTCCTTGTTTACGTCTCTCTTCCAGGTCAAACAACTGAGGAGATACAACAGTATCAGGTTACAAGAGAGGTTCGGACGTCAAGATTTCACCGTGTGGTCACGAACCGTAAAGGTTGCGAAAGTAACAATCGCTCAGAACTAAGTAACGACTCTCTGAAAGAAGGAATGAAAAATTCACGTTCGTTTGACAGTTGTTTGTCAATCCAGAAAGTAGCGAGCTCAGACATAATTTGAATTTTCTAATGAACATTCAATTTAAAAAACTTACACAACACGTTGTGTACCCAAAAGAATGTTGCCTTTCTTCCCACGCCAATTTTCGGATTTCGTTTTTTTTTTTTTTAACAAGCTTTATCTACGGTGTCATCTCTACTGATATAAAAGCTGATGTTTTCAAATTTATATCAAACAATTTTTTCTTACGTGGGTTCACATACGTCCATTGAATTGCACCGTACAAGTTTTAGCTACCCATGAACAGCGAACTTCCTAAGGAAAAGATACGATAGGCTACATAATCCGAAGATAGTTTATTTCAAAAGCGGTGACTAAGAGAAGGGTTCTTAATTTTTACCTACTTTTCCTGGGTTAATGTTCAGTTTTAACCGTACAAAACTACTATGAAGCAATGTCTGTCAGATTCCTTGCTTACCGTTCGTGGATTCCTAATGAAGATTTTCGTTCTGCCATAAGCGTATGCTGTTGGTTTGATATTCAGACTCTGAAAGAAACAAGCGTATTATGTAGGTTTATTTTCAGGCATTTAAAGAAATATCATGGGGCGTTCTTTGGGAACTTTGTCACACATAGCATGACCAAATTCGCAGTATTTGCGATTTCTGTCCCCACCGCTGCCAAAACTCTTTATCATTTAACGAAACAGACGCCTCGCTTCCACAGAGCTAGGATAAAACAACTAGATGTTAAGGAGAAAAGGTGAGCTGTAGAAATGAGAGCTTGAAGTCCAAAATCGACGGCATTTCTGGTTCTCCGAAACACCCACTCGAGTTTCCTCTACTCGGTGAAAACAAGCAAAGCCATTCAGGCAATAAGGTCGTTTCTCCGTACACGTCCTCTTAACAGGACCCCAGAATTTTCCAATTCTTGCTAACCAATCAGAAATAACGCGAACACTCTCGTTAGCTTGTTACACTTAGCAAGCTCACTGTTGAGATGAACAGCTACCTCAAGAGGAAGATAACAGAACTGTCAAATTGTAGGTAAAACGATTGTGAACAAACGTCATCTATTACCTTGAGTAGTTCTTTAAGTCCTTCTTTTGGCATGCCTACCCAGTTTGGCCAAGTTTTATCACAAAGCATCTTGTACCTGAAAAATTTAAACTTTCAATTCTCCGACAAGCTCGACAGTTACGAACATCTGATTAACAGCAGGGGTTTCTCTTTAGTGACGAACGTGTAGTTTCTCTTAAAAATATCAAAGTATTGTCAAGCAGTCAGGTGGTAAGAAGAGAGAAAAGCATCAACTAGGGGACACTGTCTTTATGTACGCTAAATTCGCAGAGCTAATCATTAATTTCG